ACTCGTATAGTTTTGCCATGTCCATCTGTCCGTCCGTCCAAGGTTTAGCTCAAAAACTATTGATATTAGGAAGTCGTAATTAAGCATGAGTATAGACCTCAATTAGTAAACCGTTTGTGACTTATTAAGCTTTAAAGAGCAAATTTTCTCTAGATTCAAGCGTCACCCCTGTACCAACTAAACGGTTGTTGGTAAAAATTCAAACCTTACGAGTAGTACTTAAATATACCGAAATTAAAAGAGGAACTATCACACTTACGTTGACTCTTATTAACTCGAAAATTTCGAAACACTAGATCAATAAATGTTTCTTCTTAATATCTGAACCAACGTACGTATTCGTACGGCTGTTGATGATAATCCGAACTAACGGAGATTCTTATAACGTGCAAAAAGCCATAATTTGATTGTGTCTCATAGAAATGCAAGAAAAGCTATCTATGTAATTTAACATCATTAGTTCTTTATGTTAAAATATAGTCGTTTCAGATTATACCAGTTTTGTGCTTACCCATTTCCTTTTATTACTATAATGGCATTGCTATTTGCATCCTAACTAGTTGTGAAAAGTTATAACTGTTGCATCATACAATTTATGGTTGCGTCTGCGATACTTAGGTTACATTGTATTTGTAGCGTATTATCTCTCGTGTGTATATTATTTACTAGGTTAGGTATATTATAATGATTTATTATTTGTTACTAGGAACAGGCATTTGGAATGTCACACAGTAAGACGTGTTCATATTAATCACAGGCTTTTGATCTCACAATGGCTTATTATGAGATTGACAATAATTACATATTGTGGCGTGGTGCAGCGTGTGTTGTCAATGGGATAGAGAATACTGTGTGTTACTGTAACATGACTAGTAGAACAAATAGTCTTTTGTTATAATGGAAATAATCGTTTCACGTGACCTATTCGATTCCATATACTGGAATTGATATATTTCTTTATTGCATTTAGAAATACATTATCTACCAGTTATATAGAAGAGATGTTGGAGCCTGAATGTTAGGCGATAAGAATAATACTTAAAGTGACCACAAAAATTATAACATTTATAATATACATCAAAAACTATTAACATAACTACACAAATGAGTAAATTACATAATAAACAATGCTATAAATACTTATAAAATAAATAGTAACCGATCGATGTCTGTACATTGAAGATATATGAAAAAAACTGTTATAGGGGACATTTATAAGCGTATTAGAATACAAAACAATGATTTTTAAATTTTTTGTCTGTTTGTCTGTTTGTCGGTTTGTCTGTTTGTCTGTGCGTTTGTGCACGATAATCTCAGAAACGGCTTAACTTATTTAAATGCAGTTTTCACTATTGTGTTGCGGCATTCTTCCGTTAACATTTAGGGTAAGATTTATTACAATCGGTTCACAAATAAAAAAGTTATGTCAATTTGAAGTGACGTGGTCGCCAAAATTGCTATGAAATATTTAATGTTTTATAAAATTTTCATCTTTGATATGTTGATCATCATCATTAACTCTTTCACTGCCAAACTACAGGGCCTCAGGCCTTTGTTTAATAATTTTTGGTCACCCATCCCGTGAACAACTCTTGCGATAATTGCTTAGCAATAGCGATCGTGCGCAGCAGCGCATATCCGTAGCGCCACCGAGCTGTGAATTAATATTGTCTATGAAATGATAATTTGTATGACGACAAATAAAAAAATAAGATTCCAAAATTTTGACAACTCCGAAGTAAGTTGACCTCATTTATATATGGCCAATCATATTAAATAGGGTTCAGCTTATAATGGACATGTGGTATACGATCACGCGAGTAGGAGAACAAGCGGAAAGAGCCTTCCGATGATGCAATTAAGCCTCGAGTAGTTTACAGTGAACGCATATTTTTATCAGATTAGGTTCACGTCGTCGTCGGGGCCAGCGGAGGTGGTTGGCAGCCGCTCCCGCATTGCACGATTTCGTCTATCTGGGAGAGGCACTCGATTTAGCCGAGTCTCTCCAATTTTCCATCTGCAAGGGGAGCAATGATCCAATACTTGAGTGTCCTGATGACTCGGCCATAGCTTGCCGGTTTTCATTTCCCATGAGAAGGTGTAGAGTACGGTTATTGGTGGGTAGGACTCCGGGGACCCACCGGGCAGCTCACTGTCGGGTTCACGGAGGAGAATCCTACTCATCCCTGTTGCTTGCCAGGTAACAGAGACAATGTCAGAAGTTTTTCCACGATGTTAAAAAACTTAGATTCACGTCAACTGAAGTTAAGAACGTAAAGACAACTCGAGTTATATTTTTTTTTTCTCTTATTACTATTTTTATGTTAATACCCTTTTTTTACATACAAATTTCTGAAGATACGTACTTCAAAGTTAGTATTTTCAGTCTTCGCTGGAAACAATGGTTTATTCATTGGTCACAACACATATAATATTGAGTCTGAGGATCGGTTCAGAGTAGATTGGTGGCGTAGTGAATAAACGCCAAGGCTCACGATTGTAGTTGTTAAGCAACTTTCGCAAAGGTCGTTCACAGGATGGGTGTCCAAAAAATATTATCTCAAGCAACTCCAAGCTTTGGAAGGCACGTAAAGTGATTGGTCCCGGTTGAATTTGCAGTCGTTAATATCCTCCAATTCGCATTGGGCCAACATGGAGGGTCGTGGCCCATCCTCCTTAATCCATAAGGCTCCTGCAGTTGCTGACGTAACAGAGCTTATGATGATGATGACGAGGGCCGTTCAAATCTGACGGAAGCTCAGTTAAGCACCTCTCGGAAGTATGTGTTAGTAGACGATTTCCTTCGAGTGTGGAAATTCGAAATTAAAATATGTATATATATATATATATTTATATCAATAAATAAAACTCCACGTATCTTCCGTCATACATGTACCGATCGACTTTTATTGACAAAGAAAGAGATCGGACGGAAAGCGCTCGGTCTCGGGAGACACCTGAAAAACGCGAAACGTATTTCATACGTTCATACGTCAGGCTCATGCACTATAAAGTTGAATCTGAAGCATTTACCGTCAGGGACAATCTCTTGAGCTCTCGGAGAACTCATACAACAAGCGTTTGATCTCAGGAAACTTCTGAAGATCGCATAGCGCGTCTAACTGCTGATCGTAACATACATGCAGTATGGTATGAGTATGAAACTTCCTTTGATAGAAAAATGCGCTTGGTCTCTAAAAGAGCTCGCAGTTTGCACAATAGAGATCGAGAAAATAATTTCGATTATCGCTAACCTATGTTGCCTTCATACTCCACAGGCGTATTGCAGATAAGTTTTGACAGCATGTAATGAACTAGCTGTTTTCCTGCGACTTTACCGCAAAATTATAGCCTATGACATCCGCATCTGATGTAGCTTCCCGTAGGTCGGAATCGCTCTGAAACTATCGGTCCAGTAGTTTTGGAGCAAATTCGATGCAAACAAACAAACAACCAAATCCTTCCTCTTTTTATAAAGAGGAAAGATTTGGTAGTTTGTTATTATTAGTATATCTTAAGTATAAGAGGTCCGATGGCGTAGTGGGTTAGCGCATTCGAATTAAATTGTAGTGAAATAAATGAGTAAAATACTGCACAACATGTATATACATGAAAACTTATTTTACGTAACTAAGTACAAACGACAAACTCATCGCTAGCAAGCGATTTCTTCCAGGTAACCTAGCATTACATGAAAAAAAGAACAATAAATAGCCGATTGTGCATACAACTAGATAAATAATAAAAAGATCAAAAACAAAAGAAGGACAGTTTCCAGCTACGAATAAAATTCTCAAACAACCAGAGCGCGAGAATCGAGAAAAAAGATAGAAAATTAGATTCGTAAGGACAGGATGGGAGACCAAAACATTATTATCCTGAACACTGGCACAATGTACGTTAAGCCGTTAGTCCTGGCTGCATCAGCAACATTAACACCCACCGATCCGCATTAAGTTATGGCCCATTGATCTTATTTGATTCGAATCCATCCATAGGAATAAAAAAATTCTACCAAAATACTTCCCACGCAGACGAAGTTGTATATTAAAATATATTACAGAATCTCATGCACCAATCTTCTGAAGACTATTTTATTTTGAGTAGTTTTAATGTGAAGTGGAGGAGCATTTCAAAGGTGACAATGGTAAAGGATTTGGTAAAAAAGTTTATACCTACGACGCGCAGGAGTTTGGAGAATGAGGTTGCTACTAGAGCGAAGATCACGTTGATGAATGGAACCTAGACTTCATTCGTATTCGTATTCGTATCCTGGGGCTGGGTTACATGGATAGTATAGGAAATTGAAAAGCACACAGACAGCTCTCAGATTTCTGCGTTGGTGAACAGTGAGCCATCCGAGTTATTTCCTGTATAGTATAGTAGAAATGTTCTATAGTTAGTTATAAGATAAGTGATTAAACACTTATTTAATTTATAAGAAATAAGTTGGTCAAAAAATGTTGGTTGTAGCAATAATGCACCCGAAATCTCATATTGGTGGTAGTTAATGTCTAGAGTGTGTTTGTGTTATTGCATTTTAAGCCCTTTTTATTTTTGTGTGAATACTTTACCGTGTACGTCGCCGTCGAGGGTATCTGGTATGGCGCTCTCCTTCAAGAGTGCTCGGGTCTTTAGAGGCCTACCTAATAAAAACTTTTCAGTGTCACTTTACCTGGGTTAGAACTCGAGAAATATAATTATTAGCAGTAGTGATGAAGTACTCATATTAAGCAAATAATCATACCTTCTACATGTATAGAGGTAAAGTGTTAACTGTATTTATATGTAGAGGACAATCTTCAGAAATACTGATCCGATCAAGATTTTTAAACGACATCATATGCGGGTGACATGGGCTACATATTTTCGAACGAATAGCTGAACGAAAAAAATAAATTTTCATATTACTTACCTAGATGTGTCGATTTACTCTAGTAAATAATAAAAAAAAAACAAAAGCCATTGTTACTTTGATATATTTTAATATTACCTACCTATCAAGGGAAAAAGAATATTTCTGGATTATAATTGTAAATACATTGTGTGATGTGGAACGCCGCATCGCATCCGTCCTTGTAGGCATCCGCTGAAAATGAAAAGGACACAATAAGTATTTGAAAATTTTCAATACTAACTCAAATAACTATATTAATGTTGTAAAACGGCGTTTTAATTCAGTTAATAAATACAGACAGAAGTAAGTTAAATTATCATATTTTTTTAATAATACAGCAGCAGGTCACGCTACTACGTTATGCCAAGTTTCCACAGTTGATTTTAAGGTCTGTTAATGAAGTAAGTAAAATCAAGTGTAGAAAGGAGAGAAAAGGGGCTTTACTGGCCCTGAGAAAGCTTCTCAAATTTTAGGATGACCTCGTCTATGAAATTTTGGTTGTTAAATATTTCAGAATATTATTTTAAGTTTTCATCCTTAATGTACGTTTTTGTCTCAGTCTGTTTTATCATAGATTTAAATAATAAAGTGAAAATATTAAGTTGCGCTCATATAAAATATTTGGCAAAATTATATTATTAGAAAAATAGTGAAATTTGGCGAATAAAAGCAAAAAGTTCAAACTTTGGGCTTATAACGAACAAAAAAGTTATAAATGATAACTGAAAATTATATTCTGAAATATTTAGCTACAAAATTTTCATAGAAGTGATTAACCTGACATTGAAGTAATTTTTAGGGCCGAAACAACCCCTTATGGACCCTCATCCTCTGAGAATTTTGTATAGGAAAATCATTCGAACCCTTTTCTTTATATTTGGTGGGATTGGGACCAATTACAAACAAAGCCAAAACTCTGGCAGAACTTGGTTGTAAATTACATCCAATAATTTAAAAGTCATGAATTAGGCTATAGTATTATTTAAGGTAATTTATAAATATAATTTTTTGGTTTTGCTTAAAGAGAAAGACCCTTATAATGTACCCTGTGGAATTGAGATACGTAATCTTTCTCGTGTTTTGATGTACTGCTTCACGAATAAGCAATATAAGAAGAAAGATATAAATGGTTAAAAAATCATGAATTTTAATTTGAATTTGTTGGGAATCTTAAAGTATATAAAAAACTTAGAGACTAGTTGAAGAAGTTACTTACGAACTTTCTTGCACGCTGTAAGTGCTTCTTTAGCCGCTTCTTTGATGTCATCGGGTAGCAACAAATCAATTTGTTTTACTGTAGCTTCGTAATTTGGTTTGCCATTTTTAATCTAAAGGTTGGGAGTTGAAAAATATTTGAAAATTTTACACTTATGACTTATTTGCAGTGGTCGGAATTAGGTAGAGTTATTCATGTACTTACACTGATTTCATACAGCGAAAGAATAAAGTGGATATGCCTCAAATCCAGAGATTAATTTTAAAGAGCAGAAAAAATCCCGTGATTTTTTTCAAATAAAAAGTTATTTATTTTTACACAATTTAAACTACTGCACGCACGACGTTGCCAAACTTACATCAATGACATCGGATGTCCAAAGATGTCCAAGATTGTCCATTAGAAATCCCGGGAAGGTCCACATTAATATCAACATTTCGATGCAAGTACATAAATAACTCTACCTAATTCCGACCTCTGCTTATTAGCCTTCCGCCAGCGGTTCCCCCGCGTGATCTAGTTTTAAGTTCAGAAATGAGAAAATTCCATAAAAACTTTCATCTCCTAATTTATCCCCTTAAGGCTTGAATTTCATAAAATCCAATCGAACAATCGTCATAGTGAGCACCTTAATAGAACTCGCATGCAAAATTTGAAACTCCTAGCCATCATCATCATCACCATCACCAGCCCTTTTACGTCCCCACTGCAGGGGCTCAGGCCTTCCTTATGGATGGTTAAGGAGGATGGGCCATGACCCTCCACGCTGGCCCAATGCGGATTGGAGGGTATTAACGACTGCAAATGCACCCGGGACCAACGGCTTAACGTGCCTTCCGAAGCACGGAGTAGCTCGAGATAATAATTTTTGGTCACCCATCCCGTGACCGACCCTAGCGAAAGTTGCTTAACGACTACGATCGCAGGCCGCGGCGCTTATCCACTACGCCACCGAGAAACTCCTAGCACTATACTAGATTGAGTAAGTGAACTTTCGTTTATATTACTATAAGATTACCCCAATAAAATATAAAGTATAGTCAAATGGAATGATAATGATTAGATTATAAATAAACTATCGAAAATAATGAAGAGTAGGTAAATAGCTATGATTCCCTGTTATATTTTGTATATACTTACAGTGTTTGCCATTTTCATAATACATGCAACGTAACATTTTACTTCTTTCTCGTCAATAAAAACACCTTCATTTAGTGGATCAATTTTATCTGAAAGCAAATTTAAAGAGTTACGGTCTACCAAGAAATACAAGGTATCAAATATATCAAATAAGGACGCTGACGGATTTTTTCATATTGTGGCCATATATAATTAATGCTGTTAAAATCAAAGAAACAAACTTTTGAATCAGTATATTAGGAAAAATATTTTTTTTTAGTAATGTATATGTCGCAGCCAAGTGGTCAAATCGGCCGGCCAATTGGGCGGCTAGCCTTTTAAATTAATGGCGCCATTCAATTATTTATTTATTTATGTTATTGTATTCCATATTGTAGTATTAAAATATTCATAAAAACAAAAAAAAAATATTATAGACCCCGTCGGGCACAGCAAATTTGGAGAGAGGGGAGGACACTGTGCTTCAAAATGTAAGTAACAAGTTTTCATTTCCTTTATAAACTAAATAATATTATATTTAAATTAGAGATAGATTTTAGTTAATACTCGTAAATTATTTTTTGTTTGATGTAATCTTTTTCTTTGGTTAGTTGATTCCGATTGCGTAAATTATAAGTTGTTGTTTCTTCACGTTTTCATAAAATTATAAAACTTCTAAAAAATTTATGCAGGGTAATGTAAGAATTTGATATTTATAAAAATATGGTTTATTAGTTTGTAGGATGATGCGAATCAGTTTTTTCTGCAATGTAAATAAAGATAGAATGTCTGTGCTGTTTACCCAAATGATATCACAGTAGCCATGCATATGCATGCGCGTAGTAGGTAGTTAATGCTGTATTTATGACTGTAGTTTTTTTTTTACTTCTCGTAGGGCATATGCAAAGCTAAAATATATACTTTTCAGTTTTTGAGTTTGTAACTTTCAATTTCTACGTGATTCTAATACCAAACCAAGTAAAGAGACTTCATTGATTGCTTTTATTTTGTGTTCGTTTTATGTGAAATTAATGTTTATCCAAGGGTTTAGGTTTAGATGGAAGATAATTTTGATTTTTTATTCCAAGATTATATTTTTTCGTCCAATCATTAATGTTATGGAAAATAAAACCCAATTTACTATTGACATTTAAATCGTCTCTATATGATGATAGGAGCGATACATTATAGCCGATCAATACCCATGGTTCCTACACAATTTTCGGAGTGTCATTTGTAAAATAGCTAGTCGCCCAATTGAACGGCTGATCTAACCAGTTGGCTGCGACATATATATAAAAAAAATTCATGTTCGAATTTCATTATTCAACTTAAACCATTGATTGGAATGTACATAAGACATTAAAAATACTTCGTCTTAATATACAATACTACTCAGTCTTAATTCTAAAAAGTTTAAACTTTCAAACAATCCACAGTAGGTGCCATTATAATATCACGTAAGTAATAGTAATTATGTGATACTTAAGCACCACGACTGGTCATCGTTATACACTATAAAATTACTGTCATGCAACTATTATTTCTATGTAATCATAATTATTAGTCTCACCGTCAGCTACATTGTTTTTTGGCTGGCAGGATTTCCTCATCATTTTCCCTGTGTTCTTTATTTGTTTCATTGTCATCTGAAATAATATTAATCTCAGTTCTATCTGATACTAAACTATTTAATAATTCATCGAAAAGTAAGTTATACTTGTTTCAAACAGTGCCGGATTAAGCCAGAGCGGGGCCTGTAGCAATTTTTTTGTTTAAGATTAAATGTATAATTGAAATAAAACAAAATTCTTTCAAACACGATATTCTCGATTTTTAAATGTTCGGGTTTGAACGTAAAATATAATTAATTGTTAAATGATAGTCTTATTAGCAGAGGTCGGAATTAGGTAGAGTTATTTATGTACTTGCATCGAAATGTTGATATTAATGTGGACCTTCCCGGGATTTCTTTATTTCTTTCTTTCATTGATGTAAGTTTGGCAACGTCGTGCGTGCAGTAGTTTAAATTGTGTAAAAGTGAATAACTTTTTATTTAAAAAATCACGGGATTTTTTCTGCTCTTTAAAATTAATTTCGGGATTTCGGAATTTGAGGCATATCCACTTTATTCTTTCGCCGTATGAAATCAGTGTAAGTACATGAATAACTCTACCTAATTCCGACCACTGCTTATTAGTGAAATTAAAGTGTATTGAATATAATTAAACTGATAATTGTTATGTATTATCTTTGTTTTATATGGCATATCAAAAATCTTTTTGAACGATGGCAACACAGCCTTTAGGACGACGCTAAGCGTGCATTTTTAAAATAATATTATTTGTGATTAAATTAATAAAGAACAGTAAATCACAGTTTTAAAAACATTTTATTTGATCACGGCGATCACTGTGTCTCTGAAGGACAGAGTACATATCAATAATGATAAATGCTACTGAGTGCATCTGATTCCTAAGGGGATTGCTTTTCTGTTTTGTTAATGTTTATTCTTTGGCACTTATCTTCTGTTACCACCTATTTACTTGTTCCAGGTCTTGATCTTCTTGCTCACAAAATATTTTTTCTTTTCTTATCAATTCACTGTAAGTTTTCCGTGATAACTCCTTCGTTTTAATATACAGCTCCTTAACTTTTTTCATATTCGTTTTGAACAAAGTAAGGATCGTCTGACGCTCTAAACCGTTCTAATTTAATATTAATCCACATGATTCTAGTTGTTCAACGCGCTGCTGGCAATTTTCAACAGTTTTACGGACGGATCCGACCTTTCTATAGTTGGTTAGAAGTCTCAATACTGCTTTGGATTTTATGGTTGTAATTACATGTCTTGATGTATCTTTCACTAACACAATTTAAGGAATCAGTAACTTTGCAAACGAAACAGAAAAGTCGTCATTTGCTTTCTGAATAACACAACACAACTAATCTGTGACTTGAGTTTTATTGTCAATTTATGTTTATATTTAAAAATATGAGCTTAGGCAGAAGCTGGCTTATTTATTTCTCGTATTTTTTATCACTGACAGAAAAAAAAATGCGCGGGCCCCAAAAGCACGGGACCTGTAACATTTGCTACTTTTGCTACGTGGCTAATCCGGCACTGGTTTCTTAAGTGAGATTCGGATGATATAATTATTGGTTTAAAATTCAATGACCACTAAAATTACAGTAATTATTCACGGGATTGCTATCATGAATCTTGTTTTTAACAAGTCCCTGATATTTTGTCATTTATACGATAAAGCTCCCACGGTCACTGTATCTGTCTAGTTGAACGTAATATATTCAATAATACCAAACGTGGTTTCACGGGATTTCATCAAAAGTAGAGTGAAATCTTACACCGGAATCTTCAATGATATTTTTGAGATATATTCACGGAAGTATAAAAAAATGTACATACTGACTGGGAACTTATATTTTATACTACAAAGCACGGAAACCATATCTGCTCTAAGGGCCGATAATAAGAATATTGTGATAATTTTTTTGAAAAAAGTATACATAGCTGTACACAGTACACTAATAACCAATAACACAGGACCATAACCAAAATTATCAATAATACTGACGATAACAAACTTTTCTATTAATATATTTTAGTTACTTAAGTATCATGGTATATGAATATGCTATTATAGTAAGAAAAAAAGTCTCACCGCTTCACTAAAAGCCAATAACACAAGGAATTTAACCAAAATTATTAACAACATTATACGCGATGACCCCTCTATTCATGACCTAAGGAAATAGGGAACCATGATGCCGATATTATGTCTTTATATCGGTTCGATTGACATGTGACATAGGCATGTAAAGCCAAATGAGAATGATTTTATTGTTAGCACTACGGTGACCAGAAAATTCAGAAAAAGCGGACATCGGACAGATTTTTTTTACATCCTCAATTGGGAGCGATTGATTAACGATCGCAATGCGATGAAACAGATATAACACGACAATTGAATAGAAAGAATTTCGTACGTTGACCTTTGTGCCTACTGATATATGTCAAACAGTTTTGGTTCACATTACTATGACAAAATTGTCTAGATGCATCTGTGCGCTTGAGTAAAAGAGATATGTAATGCCATGTCATTGTTCGGAATTTTCAGTACCGTGTTTTTTTTTATTTAGCTCAGTAAATAGTTTATTTGTAATCCTGAAAAATGTGTAACTCCACACTAATAGTTTTGTCACTAAAAATAATAAAATATAATTGTGATTTGAATACGCCGTAAAAAATAAAATTGAAAAGTTCCCACGACTTTGTTGTCACCCTTTTTGAACCGTTTAAGAAAATTACAAGTTACTAATTACAAATCAACACCTTATGATTTCCTCATTGTTTTAATTGTTGGCTTTCATTTATTAAATCTGTTAAATCATCATTGATTTCCTCACGGCTTATTGTTGTTATTTTTATGCGTATATTTTAATTGAATTTCTTATTAAAAAGGAAGGAAAGGTAAAATTACAAAGATAACTGAGTGAGTATAAACACATTGCAGGTGTAGTGGTGTAAAGCTGAAGAGAAAAAAATGTTGGAATTATAAAGTCATAAGTTCTTAATATATAAATTATGGAAATTATTACATGTCTATGGCAAACTTTTACAAATATATTGATAATCCTAAAAAAATAATTCGTTGAAGTTTTAAACGGCAATTTTGTATTTTTTTATTGTGAAGATTTAAAAAGATCACCCTTTGACCTATGTAGGTAATTGTAGTTTTCTCAACATTGAATACAGATTATTTGAATTTTATCTATTTTATTCCAACTCAGTGTTAGATTCTACACTCCTGTTGTTTTCACAATAGGACAGGCAAGCAACAGTGGTGTTGGCATAGTTTCTAATGGTTGGCATAGTGTTTCGCCTTTTACAAGTGTTTTAAAAGCTTATAAGCCTAGTCTAAATATATTATATTGAATTTAAATATATCTTATTATTAGTCATTAAACGTTTAAAAAGTATGATAACAGCTTATGGAAAAACTAAACCTACGTTTCTTAAGTTAATAAGATGGAGTGACTTACTACTTAATGTCAAATCTGTATAATCAATCCATCATTGTTGAAATATATAAGTAGCAATGATCATTTATATAAATGTGTATGTTTGCATTACCGTAGTACTGAATCCGTACACGATGTTGCCTGTTAAAGTTTTTGCATTTTTTGTGATATTTCTTTTCATTCATTTTAGTCATGCGGTAAGTAGATTACGACGATGTCAGTAATATATCTTAAATAAACTTAAATAAACTAAAATAAGTTTAATTTTAAATAATTTGGAGATGAAGCTAAGCTATGCTCATTGTCTAGCTCAGCGCCGTAACAGCATAGAGATTCAATGCCTTTTGAATAAAACCTTTATTGCTTTTTGAAATAGGTTTAATCTGATCGAACCTCTATCTTTTTAGCGCTGACCTCAATATCTAGTCTAAGAGCATTCTAAAGATTGATATTTCAGTATCTTGAAGTACCTAAGGGTATACACCACTCAGTACCCAGGACGGGCGCTAAGACAAACTTCGAGCGAATGCTGAATATGTTTCTGTATCTATATCTATGCTCAATATGTAGTAAAAGTGAATCTTTATTTCCCTTGGTCACGTCATCACACGTGAATGGCTGAAAAAGATAAGAAAATTGTGTGGAAATTTTGAAAATTGACAGAATGCGTGTTCCATGTTTTTTAAATGGTTAGTTATATGTCGCCTGTTCCCTTGTCGGAATACAAACAAAACTATTTATATAAGTGCGAACAAATATTAAGAATGTTGTTTATCATAAAGCATTAGAATAATAGACACTTTTTAAAATATTTTATTTTAATTATACCAATTTAAATTCAATATCAAGACATGACAAGATTTATAGGGTCAACTAGTTACTAATCATTTAGTAGTAAAGTACTTCAACATACTGAAATACAAGCTTTAGAATGTTCTTGCACATTTTTGTCACGATATTTTTTTTCTCTTGGTTTAATTGAGTTCGCTATTTTTATATCAGCATTGCACTGCTGCCATCACATGCACCTAAGTTAAGAGATTAAGCATCTGAATTCAATTATATATTTCAATTCATGCAGATGTCGAGGCAGCAACTAAAAAATTCGATGAAACTAATGAAGAAGTCGTGTATGCCAAAAAATGACGTCACTGAAGGTATAGTTTGATCCATATTCCAGAGATTTTAATTAGTCGATATGGATCCCTTTTATGGTTACGGCATACATGGGATCCATATATATGTATACAGTGGAAATGACTCTTATAAAATTATAAATTTTTAATAAAATTTTAGATCAGATTGGAGAAATAGACCAGGGCAAATTTATAGAGGAGCGTAATGTGATGTGTTATATAGCTTGTGTATACCAAATGATTCAGGTGGTGAGTATTATTGATATTATCCTAGAATAATATCTGGATCTATATCTATACTAGTATTAAAATAAGGAAAGATTTGATTGTTTGTTTGCATTGTATAGGCTCTGAAACTAGTGGACCGATTTTAAAAATTCTTTCACCTACGGGTAGCTCCATCATACGGGGTTGACATAGGCTATAATTTACGCGTG